ATACTTTGTACTTGCCTAATTGTTCTATAGAGAACACTATGTTTAGAACACATTGGTACTATTTTCTTAGTTGCATATTTGCTTATCATTCAGAAAATACTGTACAAAAGATATTAATATGATTAGTTATTGAGGAAAAGGATAAAAATATACCAACAAATGAATAGTAAATATAAAAAATCACGGAACTTCTATTAAACATATTTAACATCAAATTCAGTGATGGTTAATTATTTCTGTTAAATTCTTGTTCCAGCTGTCGTTGATTGTTGATTATACTTGTTTAATTATTCCATGTGACATTTGTTCGAAATTTAACAAACATAATGATGCATAAAATAAAAAACTTTGTTTTTTTGTTCTTCTGCTGCAGCTGATGTGAGGTAAACTGTGACTGATGTGTTTGTTGGTATGCGACTCGCAAGTAACTGGTATGCAACCTGCGTCTGGTGAATAAAGTGAGTAAGTAAGATATTTCGTATTAATTAACATTTATTTACAAACCCCAATTACGTTAAATACCGTTATCTGACGTTCAAAGAAAACCTTAAGCTGACGTTATATCTTACATTATGTAACGTAAATTTACGCTAATATATTACATAAATTTAAAGTTCAATATAAACCTAAAACTAACATAACCAACCTTCGTAAAGGTACGTAAGCTTACGTTATATAGATAACATTTACGTTATTTAACATTCTATAACGTTACAATTGTTGGTACGTTCAGTAACATTGAATTACGAAATGGTTTAACGTTAGTCACGTAAAATGGTCTATAGGGCGTGTTCTAAGATAAGCCATAACATTGCAGTGCTTGGCCTGCATGAAATTGTCTTCACTTAACCAGAGAAATCGAAAACTTCTGCTAATTGATTTAAAGGTGCTATGGAAACGCCTCAACACGGAATCGGACCCAAAAAAACGGAAACCTCCCCAAAATGAATTTTTTTGAGGCGTTTCCTGTTTGTTCAAAAATTTGTATTTTTTATAAGAATTTTTTAAAATTTTTAGCTTGAGATCAACAAACTTTTTTGATTTTTATTTCACATCAGGATAAAAGATATGTCTAACAAAAAAAGTTAATTATAGATGTCAAAAAAATTGAATTTCTTAATACCGAGCATCGAATATGTTTTTTTCAATTTTTGTAAATTAAATTATTTCATTTGTTTCAGAAACCAAATTTTTAAAAAAAAACTTTTTTAAAAGTATATTTTTGGTTTTCAAATAAACATTATTTTTTGATATTATATTGAAAAAAAGTGTTTTCAATTTTTTTTTAGATTTTATTGGTCGTGTAAATTTACAGTGAAATGTAAAGATATAAATATAAAAAAGACAGAAGGCATGGTACATTCTAGTTCATTTCATGAACCAGGCCGAATTTCAACTAGCCAAGGCAAGCAGTACTGTACAAATAAAGACTATATGAGGCAAAACGGGATTGTACACCAAATGAATGATCCCCTTCTAGTGAAATTTAAGTGAAGGAGAAACTCAAATATATGCTACCTTACTATTATGGTTGTTTTACCTCGTAGATCCTCTTCTTGCTCTGAATTTAAGCAAACTTTGATAGCAAATTTATCAAATTTCATATTAGCAATCTTAAACATTTTTTTTTTCAAAAGTAGGAGTTATGATTTTAAAACATGTAAGATTTGAGATTAGGTGCAATTTGCTGGTGCTATGGAAACGCCTCAACACGGAAATGCCTCAACACGGAATCGGACTCAAAAAAACGGAAACCTCACCAAAATGAATTTATTTGAGGCATTTCTTGTTTTTTTCTAAAATTATCGGAAATCCCTCAAATCTAATTTTTATAGGAATTTCCCGTTTTTTTTTTATCCGTTTCCCCGATTTTTAGGTCGGATTCTGGTTTATACGGGTCTTATATTTTTTAGGGATTTCTCAATATTTTTGAGGGATTTCCCAATATTCTCTCAATTTGTTGATCGGTTTCCTCTTTTTTTTGGGTCTGTTTCCTCATTTTTTGGGTCGGTTTCCGATTTTCAGAAAAAGTTGTAAATTCTCAGTTTGTTGATAGGTTTCCCCTTTTCTTAAGTCTGTTTCCGGTTTTCAAAAAAAAATATTAAATCCCGGTTTATTACTCGGTTTCCTTTTATTTGGGCCCGTTTCCGGTTTTCAAAAAATGTTAATATTCCAGTTTTATTGGTTTGTCCCCTTTTTTTGATCGGTTCCCTCATTTTTTGGGTCAGTTTCCGGTTTTCTTATCTTTGCCAAATCATCAACTATAAAACAATTAGAAGAAGTTACAGCAGTGGCGTAAATAATGGGGGTTATTGGGGTTAT